TCATTTTTTATAAATGTTACTGATAAAATTTTATAAATGTATTTTCAATTTAAAATTCTAACATGATATTTTTATAAAATATCTGAATTTCTATGAATCTTTCATCCTTTAACCTTTATCCTATATCAGTAATTAAAATTTTCGACATTATATAATTTTTGATATTTAATAATTTTTTAAAAAGAAAATTTTAAATTTCAAATATAAATTAAAAAAAGTATGTCAAGTAACAAAAAAATATAACATAATTTGAAAATCTTTTAAATATAACAAATTTTTAATTTTATATCATCTTGAAAAATATTTACATACTTAAATATTAATACATTAATATTAAACAAATTTAAATTGTTTTCACGCTTCTTAATTTTTAATCAAATAAAGGCTAAATAGAATAATTCAATTTTCTAACTTTAATTTTCCATCCATTTCATTATTATGAAATTATAGCATTAAGTAAACTGCATAAAAAAAAAAAATTCGAAAATTTGTTAGATCTTGATTTGGTTGAATATGTACCAAATGAGAGACGACAAAGGGAAACACAACAAAAATAGAAAGGCCGATCGATATTAATTGTGTCGAGTGTGCCTCTTAACCACCAGACATAACCTCGAAATAAGACAATGTTTTTCTTTACGTCAATTCTCAAATCCGAAAGATTTCGACATCTATTAGACGATTAGATGTTTAGTTGCATTATTTGTCACGAATCCTATAGAGGGGCGCTAATAACACTTTCACTTTGATATACAATTGCATGGAAACTATTATGTTAAAAAGAAAAATTTTACTTATTTATTTGATATTATCCGATCACGAAAATTTTATCATATGTCGAATAAGCAATATTCAAGTTATTAATAAAAAATGAGAAGTAGAAAAATCTTACATTTTCACAATCTAATCTAATTTTTCATTAGTTGTAATTAATAACTTTAATGTTAAAAAATTAAAATTATCGAACCAAATTATAATAATAAGCAAAATTAAAAGTGTAATAAATTATTTATGTATGAAAAAGCTTAAAAAAAAAATTAAAAAAAAAAAGAAATTATGAAATTTTTCACCGAAGAAAAATTATTTCATTAACAATTATAATCATTTTTCATGCTTAAATTTATTTTTAATGCATTGTATCAATTTTTTATCTAATAAAAAGATAAAAAAGATGATAATATTCTTTATTACTATACTTCTATAATTCTATAATTCTTTCCAACTATACTTTCAAATTTAAAATATAATAAATTTTAATTTAACAAAACAATTGAAACTGCCAATTGACTATCAGTATTATTTTAAAAAATAAACCAAATCATTAATTTAAAAAATAGACGAAATAATTACTCGAAAAGTAAAGAATATTTATTATATTATATAATTCAAAATCAATAAGAAAAAAATTAGATTAGGTTATATTTCCTAATATAATATAATGTGTATATGAATATATCCTAAATATCAACTTTTCATTCTACATTTATTTATATTGATATCTATTAATATATTTTTATATATTTAATATTACATTCATTATTCTCACCTCCACTCCTTATTTTACTATTTGCTTCGAAATCAACTTGAGGGACAAGGATATTTCTGATCTCGCATATATTTGCATCGATGAATATTTGAAACCGAGTTAACTGCGCTTCCATGATTAACTGAAAAGCACGAAAGCGAAAATGCGGTGTCACGAAATTGTGAGGAACCTCCTTTACAAAGTGTCATCTCGAATGTATTGCGGTATATGTGAAGCAAAATGCGTCTTTATCTTGGATGGTTCGAGGAAAATTTGAAAGTGAAAACCAAGTGAAATTGTTGATTTCTTTTAAAAAAAAAAGTTTAAAATTTTATTTAAATAATGTTTTGAATAGAACTATGCAATTTTTATAAATTAATAAATAATAAATTCATTATTAAATTTTCTTAAGAGAATTTTTATTTTTATTGATAAAATTTTTGAATATTAAATGATCATGAAGTAGATTTAAGAACATATAATAAATATTCCATCATTTATATATCATTCTATAATAATTTTTTCATCATCTTATTTCATTATTGAATTCCTTTGAAAGAATATCTATTTCTACCGATAAATTTTTGAATGAATGTATAATGAAGTAGAGACTTTAACAAGTATTCCAGAAGTTTTTCGAAATTTTTCTAAAGAATCTAAAAAACATAAAAAAAATATTAATGAAACAGTCATCGAAGATTAAAATTATCAATGGAAGATATAAAAAATATATTTATATATGAAGATTAATTAAAATGTTAATATATTCGTTCAAAACTTTTAAAAAATCGATTCTAGAAACAAAAACAAGCATAAACGTCGATATATAAAAATCTCGGTTAAAACTTATTTATTAAGTTATAAACAATTGATGATATAATGGGTTATTAAATTAATTGTCTCCATCGCACTGCTGTTTCACTCTACATTCATCTCACTTTATTCAACATAAATTTCGATCGCTCGTAACTCGATAAGGAAGTTTCAACCGAAATTTTTATGTACCAACTTTTGCATTTAGAATCAATCTTCCAAAAAAATTTCACAAATATAGTAAAAGATTTTACGTAAATGACGTAATATATGCACAATAATATAGAGAAAAACAAAGAAAACTTTTAAAGAAACGAACAAATTTACGATACGTAACAAAGAAAAATATACAAAGAAAAATATGGAAATAAATAGAATGAGAAAAAGGGAAGAAAAAATTTTATCATTCAACACATGTGTCGTTTCATGTTTAAAGTTATAGAGGATAACCTCTTTATTGAATTCAATTCGGTCATCGTAAAATTCGACCAATATCTCTTTTTTTTTCTTCTTTTTTTTTTATTTCACACGCGCTTCTGACCGACTTTTTTCTCCAAAGAACGTGAAGTGTATTGGAGCGTGAAAAATTAGGCTCTTCAGTTTAAAAGAGTGATTCAACGGTATTTCAATTGTGAAGTCTCGAAGAAATTCTTTGTATTTTTTAGTTAAAAATAATAAATGCTTGATAAACCTCAAAGAGATTTATATTTATATTTAAATATAATTTTTTTTTTCTAGAATTTTAGAATTCTAGGATTAAAAAGTTAGTCTCAGAGAGATTTCGTTCGAATTATAACTTTTAACTTTACACTCTGTCACTTTTAACACAGTTTACTGGTGGACGCCATTTCTCACTCATCTAGTGACATTAGTGGCGTTAGTGGCGCGTGAATCAACTTAATTTCTTTTTCGAATTTTATCGATTTGACAGAATTTAATTTTGTAAATAAAAAAAATTCATCAATTATGTATTTATTTAGATTTATTTATTTATTTATATATTTTTTAAAGTAAAAATGAAAAAACGTTTTTTTTATTTAGAATTATTAAGTGTTAAAAGAAATTACTTTCATGACTTATTTGATACAAAATTATATTCATTTTGACACATTATAATATCTATTGGTAAAATGATTAAGAACATCATGTGGTACATTTCTGACAAATAGACAAGATTGCTATCGAAATAGCAAAGGATTGGAGATACGTAACCCAGAAGCATGACATAAAGTGTGAAATAATTATCCTTATGAATTGGATACTGACATTTTTAGTACCACTA